CATCATATGTGCACATCTAACACAACCATCATCATATCCTCCAAGAACTGACATCTGTGACAGAATATGAAGTGGACAAGAAAATGGAGTTGCATCTCCAATCCATCACCATGCAGTATTGGAAATGTAATGTCTAGCCCACAGTAGAAGCAGAGTACCTGGCCACACACATGAGGAATTATGTGGCTGATCCAGCTTCAATCATCACCATATCTGCTGTAAACTGAAATCAAGGGAATGGTAGGAAGGAGTGTGCCTCAGTCAGAGAGGCGAACTGCATGTTGGCAGAATGTATCATCCAACACCTCATAGCATCTGGAATTGTACATCAGGTCCATGGTAGGATAAGCATCAATGCCACCTACACTGGCAGAACATCACCATCCTACTCTCACAACTGAGTGGGATTGAGCACACTTAGAAGGAAGACTCCTTGGTCCACCACCCCAGTGGCTAGGACTTCCATACTCCACTAGAAGAAGGGGGAACAGCACACTGAAGAGCATGGAGGAATGCTGCACTGGAGACAGTGCAATGGGTGACCTCAATACCTTATTTTAAAAAACAGGCCTATCCTGTGATCTACAGTAAACGGATCATCTAGGATGGGCAGTAATCCTTGTCTGCTTTACTCATGTTAGTCCATGAGTGTACAATTCAGGACAAACATCTTTATGGAGCAAAATACTGTGAGGTATACCTAAAATTGGTCTGCAGAATACCCCATCTCATTGATGGGCATATATGACACATAAGTCTTACAGTCAGGATTTAAGAATAAGTATACCTGGTCCCTACAAGGAAAAGGTAGAAAAAAGGAGCACTTACCCATGCATAGAGAAATCGTGGAGCACAAAATGGTGACTGGAGAAAGATGAAAATCATAGAACAGGAAACAGCCAGATGGTGAAGATAATGAACAGTGAATGCATGGGGAATGGTCCACTTACCAGCATGAATGATGTCCTCCAACAGATGATGGAAATAAACAGCCAGAGAAATAGGAATGTGACATATATGATGTGAAGAGACAAAGAAAAGATAACAAACATCTGGTGAAAGGGAAGAATAAGCCAGACAAAATAAGCTGGCAAATCCAACCCTTAAGGGTAGTAGGAGAAAAGTCAATTGGACAGGGAAGGATACCAAGAAATATATAGTGGAGAGCCCTAGCCAGGCAGAGGAGGCTATCAGGATTGGATAGTTTGATGTGGAAGAAAGGGTATTTGTTTGTAATTAAGCAAGAAGCTACACAACGGACTATCTGAGCTCTGCCCACCTCTAGTATTAAAACCCGGTTTGTAGCACTGTAAGTCTGCAGACATACCGCTGTGCCACTGGGGGGCAGGAGGGGGATGGGTGTGAAGGTGTATGTACCCTCCCTAGAAGCCAAAGTCTTGGGCAGGAAAGAATGCTCAGGAAAACGAACAACATAGGAACAGGTGAAAGAAGGTGTGGTGTGCTGATGGACTACATCCACACAGCAACAGAAGGAAGAAAAAAAGGAACAAGTAGGTAAAGGCTAGAACATAAGACGGATAAGTGCATGGAAGACTACAATGAAGTTCTAATCCAGGAAAAAGACAGGGTGGGGGGGATGGATGAGGCAGAGATAAAGAAACAAAAGGGAAAGTACTGATGAATGGAACACATGGGTATCTCATTGAAAATGAAGCAAGGCTGACAAGGCAGTGTGATAACCCAAGACTAAGGAGACAGAGAGGCTCCTGCCAAAGAGTTAGTAAAGAAAGGAGTGATGTGGAGAAGAGAAGGAGGATAACCATTATGTACAGACCAAGAACTGTACATTTACATTGTTTGTTGGAACACAGCACTGAGAAAAGACGACTGAAATGGGAAAACAAGGATGCCACATGCTGCAAAAAGATGGCCCACCTGGTCAGAGACCAGACAAAAGCCACACATGAAGACAGAGCATGGAAACAAAAGGGTGATGCATGCCAAACTAGGGCTGACATAAAAGGGTGAGGGAAAGGAGTGGAAGAGAAGGTGACACCACTTACAGGTAGAGGCCCATCCAATCCTGACTGAGAGCACCTACCGCCCCTGTAGGGAGAATTTTGTTGGGGCCAGATAAGCAATCTGTGACTAGAAACAGGGCACCTGGAAAATGACAAGACATCAAAAGAATGTGATAGCCTCTGGCCTAATACAGGAGATCCAGTGTTGGAAAACAGAGATATCTTAACCAAGACCACCCTTGCCTGGAGATGTCCCAGACTACAGTTGACTTGATGAAGGGAAACATCACTGACCAGCCCGGTAGTCTCGGGGGTATATCACTTTTCTAAGTTTCCCTGCTTAGACTCCCAGTATTTCTACTTGTTTATCCTCTTCTTCTTCTTCCACTGCACTAAAAGTTCTATCTCTTTTGGGATAGTGGGGTTCTCTTGAAACCCTCATCCCTCTTGATCGTGCCCACATACATCACATTCATTGGGCTTTAATGGATCAGTGTGGAGCCTCATTCTGGATTTCTTGGAAACTCCTCTACCTCCTTCTTGTCCAGAACATCATTTCTAATCTTTTGCATCTGAACTGATTTAGGGTTGCCATAGCAAAGGGGTTGAATACTTGTGCAATTGAGAATGTTGTAATTTTCTTTGAAAATCAACTTACTTGCATAATATCAGCAAGGCAGTATGATAAAAAACATGGTCTACCAAAGTATGTGGGGTCATGGCATATTGACCCCAAACATAACTGGTCCCTAAAATGACTCGTATGAACCCCCAGTATCCGGTGAGAGAGTTGAAACACTAGATACTAGCCCATCTGCACAACACTGAGAAGAGCAGGTGAGTAATCAAAGGAAAAAATACAATATACCTGAATTATTAAGTTGACAAAGGGATAAGGATGTCCTGGCACCTACCCCCCAAAAAAAAGCAATAGTGAGGCATAGGCAGGAGGAGGGAACAGGCTGTCAAAATATACATCCTCATGTTCAGGCATAACCTCACTTTGTAATAAAGGACAATCATTTGAGAAGACTGTATGAAGATAGCCAACTCCCTTTGAACATAGCCATTACTTCCTCAGCAGAAAAAAATTTGCCCTGATACCATTTGCTCCAAATGCAAGTCAAAAATTTAAAAAAAAAGAAAATGATTTTAAAAACATGGAAAAAAAAAATGTGTTTGGAATAATAATCAAAATGAGCAAACAAAATTAATGAACCAGTAAATTAAAAATAAAGACACACAGTTAATCTACTCTAACTTGAAAACATGAAACAACCACAATCAGTCGGACTGCCAATGGAGAAGTGATTATAAGCTGCATGGAAGAGAGGGTGCTAGTGACAATATGACTTGTGTCACACTCCTATTGGTGGAGGGTTGGTGCATGATAACATGCAGATGGCTCATGTGAATGTAGGTGGAGTATCAAGGCTGAGCAAAATTTGCACATATATAAAGGGCAGTATAAGATCAAGAAAAGCTATTTTTGAGAGGAGATAACATATTATATCGGAATTTCAACTTTTCAATATAATAAAAATCAAATACAAGTATTTAAAGATGATCCCTAAAATGGGAAGGAAATTTGTTCAGATAGTATAGTGAACAAAAAATAATTATTATGCAATATATTGTTTAACGTTAATGTTATAAAACATGTTTGATGTTTTGCATGTGTCTGTTAATTCCATAAAAAATGGAGATGAAAGGAATATTATTAATCATAATTTTTTCTTTGCTTAAAAAAGAATAGGGTTTTAAATCTTACTGTTTCCATATGGTACAATACATGATGCCCATTTCATTCCTGAGCTAGTCTTTCTTGTATCTGCTGAAACTGCAAACTGATAACTGGTATCATAAGGTAACTGAATGTCTTCATATGTCATGTTGGCTGGAACAAACTGCCACTCAACTGGATGCTTGCGAAGATGAAGACTTGGGCACCAAAAAACAGTAAAACCACTAATAGCAGATATATTCTTTTTAGGATATTCCCACATAACTCTGTATTTTCCATTTCCATATGATAAGGCTGTGACCTCCTCTGGGCCAGGAAGCACTACAAATGTCATAGGAGTTATATTTATTTAACTAGTAATATACAAATCAAGAAAACAAAAAAGGTAACATTTGACATATCATCTCATATGTAGAAGCTAACATAATTCTATGCAAGAAATATATCAGGGAAAGAACTATGTTTACAAAAATTAAACAGAAATAAAATCCCAAGATGGCACTACAATACAAAATCTGATGTGTTTTAAAATGCAGTCATTGTCTTCCTGATATTTAAATTGAAATTTTACAAGTAAATTAAAGTTATAAAACATATACCCAAATACAGCTCATTAGAAAATAAATACCAAAGAGAGAAAAAATGTAAAATGTCTTATTTTTTACCACAGAATACCTTTGATTGAACTCCATCTTTACAGTGCCTTGCAAAAGTATTCACTCCTGCAAAGTTTCACATTTTGTTGCCATCTGAGCTTGCAATCATGAAACTTTCAAATGGGACTTTATATTTAGTATCTACAAATTTACTCCAAACAGAGAAAGTTAAAAAAAATGCTGATATTATGGAAGTAAGTTGATTTTCAAAGAAAATTAGAACATTCTCAATTGCACAAGTATTCAACCCCTTTGCTATGGCAACCCTAAACCAGTTCAGATGCAAAAGATTAGTTTGAAAGGTCACAAAATTAGTGTAATGGTCTTTGTCTGTGTGTGATCAGAGTGGTTTAACTTAACTTTAGAGTAAATGCCTCTGTTCAAGCCACAAACAAGTGATATGACAAACCAACCACAAAGACCAACGAGGTTTCCAAACAAATCAGGGATAAGGTAGTAGAGAAGTACAGATCAAAGTCACTGATTATCTCAGAGTACGGTGAAGTCCATCATTTAGAATTGAAATGTACTTCATACCACTCAGTCACTACCCAGATTAGACCACCCTTCCAAACTAAGCAGCAGGGTAAGCAGGAAACTGGTTAGGGATGCCACTGTGAAGCCAATAGTAACTTTGAAAGATTTGCAGTTTCATGTCTGAGATGGGAATCAGTGCTCATACAATGACAATATCCCAGTCCCTACACAAAGCTGGCCTGTATGGGTATGTGGCAAGAAAGAAGCCATTACTGAAAATGAATCATCTTAAATCTCATAAGAAATTTGTGAACAAAGCATGTAAATGATACTTGTGGTCAGACGGGACAAAAATTGAGCTTTTTGGTTTAAATTCAAAGTTTTATGTCTGGCGCAAGTCCAACACAGCACATCACCTAGTCAACCCAACTGTCAAGCATAGTGGTGGCAGCCTCATGCTGTGGGAGTCATTCTCATCAGCAGGGACTGCGAAGCTTGTAAGGATTGATGGGAAGATGGATAGTGCAAAGTACAAGCAAATCCTTAAGGAAAACCTGGTTGAGTCAGCCAAGAATCTAAAAGTGGGTCAAAAATTCATATTTAAAAAGGACAATGACTTGAAGCACAAGGCAAAGCTACACAGGAGTGGCTTCAAAAGACGAAAGTGAATGTTCTGGAGTGGCCCAGTCAAAATCCTGATTTTAATCCAATAAAAAATGTATGGTGAGACTTGAAGATTGCAGTCAATCAATGATTCCCAACCAACTTGTAAGAATTTAAGTAATTTTGCCAGGAAGAATGGGGAAAAATTATACTATCACATTGTGCAAAGCTGGTAGAGACCTATCCAAAAAGATTCACAGCACTAATTGCTGCCAAAGGTGCTTCCACCAAGTACTGACTTAGGAGGCTGAAAACTTACGCAATTAGCAAATTGCAAATTTTAATTTATATATATATATTTTCTTTGCAGATTTTGCTGACATTCAACCTCCTTTACAGATAATGGTTTTAAGTTTGATCATTAGAGTTTTGAATAAAAACAAGTTCATTAAAGAAATTGTTTACGTTATTTGTATTTCATCATAATGTGACATTATTGGTAGGGGTAAATACTTTTGAAAGGCATTGTATAATTTTAATAAAAGTATTGGGTAATTTTATTTCTTATTTAATGGAAAGAAAAGTTTTAGAATTTAGCACTTTGAAAACTGAAATATATGTGCTGGAAGAATATAAAAGTTAACATTTTTTAACACTGAAATTGTATTTCTAATAAGTACTTACCTCCTCTCACCCAAAGCTATCTCAACCTTGATTTGCTGTTAAGCATTGCTGAATTTTTCAACAGTGCACCAGTCTATTATACCCCTTTATTTTTGCAGCAATGAGTGGTGATCATGTGATTACACTCTACCAATCGTACTGTACCCTCTATACTGGCACAACCATTGCAGCACAATCCTCACTTTCAAAAATTGGCAGATACAAATCAGAAACACCAGCAAATCAGTGGGGAGGAAGAGTGAGAAGTTGTTGAAAGGAAGTAAGTACTATCAAAAATACATTTTCATTGTTAGAAAATTTTAACTACCTCCTCTCATCTAAAACTAGAATCCCACATTGGAAAGGTGGAGGGGCTGGTGAATGCACAAAAGTAATCAAACAAAGCATAGAACAAACTCTGTGAAAGAACAGGTGTGCCACAATTATAAAAGGAGGCACAACTGTGGGGGATAGTAATACTTCTGGAACAGGTATGCTCTTCACCCAATAACGAAAAAAGTAAGACACATAGGGCAGAACTTAATAGATATGCACCATGTCATGTAAGACAGATTTCGCAATTGGACGACAGATAGTACTAAGATGTCCATGTAAGACTTCTGTAGATGAGAGAAATAGTTCAGATGATTTGAGGAGAGGCACCACACCACTTCTGAACCAGGTATATCCTTGCCATGAACAGCGAAGTACAAACATGGTGGAAAAAGAGGGAGAGTGGGAGAGAATAAGTCAGGAAAGTGATCCCAACCAGGTAAATATAGAAACTCAATCCCATGGAAGTAAAGTGAGTAATGGAGGATGCATCCCATGGCGTAGAATGGCTAGGGTAGGGCGGATTGTACTCGGTAAGTCAACTACATCCAAAACCTCCTCGCTGGGCACCCACATCCGCATGAGCGTGGGATGAGAATCACACCGGCTTCACCTCAAGCCCCAAAATCGTGGATGTTAGAAAAACATAGACTCAAGGACATGACACAAGATTAGCATTGAGCCAGGGATCTGGGAATGTGTCATCTGAGAGGGATGTCAATCACATGCAATCAACTCCCGCAACCATAAGACTGGTCCAAAACGTCCAAAGGTCAATAACATCCCTTTCACAAGAGAGAACAAGTGAGTGCCTTGGACAGAAATGGAAACATCTTACTTATACCCTCCGTAAACCACTAAACAGAAGGAAGAATAGAGGGTAAATCAAGGTTGAGATACCTTTGGGTGAGAGGAGGTAGTACCGTCTCGAAAAACATACGTATTATACTTGGTTGTCTAGTCTACTGTAGGTAACAATCCGTCAGTCTACAGTGGTAATGTTGCTCCTTATATATGTATTAAGGGAAATACTATTGTTAACAAAGAAAAAAGGGATCTTTTAAAATTTTAACCAGTTACCTCACTCCCGAGACAGCTAGGGCCTCAACTTTCACACTAATATTCAGTTATAGGTGGGTGACCTAAATCTACATTTTAAATGTGTGATCCCCGTTTTGGGTAAAAATCACAGAACTTTAACATTTAACAACTATTGATGTTTATATATTTTATATTTGGCATCTCTTATTAGCAGAACTTTTAAACACAGATATTTTTGGTTTTAATAGTATTTGTACGTGTTTCAAATGTAGGCTAAAATATAAAAAATTAAATTACTGATGAATAAAACAAAAAAGTACACATAAATGTTCATATACATACATATTATGATGCCATCTGGTAGTACAAACTTAAAATTTTGTATAGTAAATTTTTTATATAGTATTTTAATATTCATCAGTTTTAAAATTTTTGCAAATAGCTACACAAAGGCTACCTGCATATGGCCATCCCTAATTTTCAACTAATAGAGAAGAAGAAAGGAAGCTAGTCAACAGAATCCACTGCAAATTCTTGTCTGACCTGATAGTTGGATTATAGTGTTACACTTATGGTGTAGCAACAGAAGGCGAATACCATGAACCATCAGCTTTACAGTCCAAACCAAGCACCTCCAATAGGTAATGTACAGCCAGATTTAAATATATTACGTTTCACATAAGTGTGGCTAGAAATTGCTCATTTTTACAATAATTTTTCTTTTTGTTATCGCAGAAGACATATGTAGTTCTGTGATTTTGTAGACTGGCCACATACTTTATTAGAAATAAAGTTTCACATGTCAAAACATTACACAGTCAAGTCTTTTTACAAGTCTTTCAATGTTTTCACAGTGGTACATAAACTTGCATCCCAAAATATTTCCATGTAATAATCCCACAACAGTTAGAGATTTAGACTTTTGATCAAACTTTGAATTACCTAAATAAAATTTTTTAACATTAGGTGAAAAGCATAATATATAAACAAAGAAATTATGGAACTCATTTTGAACACAAGTATGCTAGAAAAAAAGGTAATTTCTTACGTTTCTGTGTCTTATCAACTGTCATTTCCACCATGTTACTGGATAATCCTTCCTTATTGGCTGACTGTATTTTGAAGTGGTAAACAGTATGGTGGTCCATATCTGTAAAAGTGTGCTTCATGCCTGTTACCTCCACTATCTTTCCTGATACCTCTCTCTTCTCAAGCATACTGTAAGACTGCTTATAGCTAATAACATAGCGAAAGTCTTCTCCATTGTAATGTTCTGGTGGTACTGGCTAAAATTAACATTTTTAGTGAGTTTTATATTTAAATAAAACTCATAAGTTATGCTTTACAAGATGGATTACATTAATCTGAAGAAATTTTCTAATTATGAGTAGAACTTTATATAGGGGTTGTTCACAATATATGGTAACAATTTGCATACATAATTTCCTTGCCATTAGTTATATCTGTGGCCTGTGCCTGTAAAAGTTAAAAGCCCTGACTTTGTTTTGATTCAGTTGAAGTGTGGCAACTTGCAGATGCAGATGGGTCTAACTGAGCCCTCTTGGAAAGGTTGCATTACTGGATCGTTTGACACAAAGTTTTAGCATTTCAAAGAAATGGATATGTGGAATGTTGAGTCATATATATAAGCAAGAGAAGGCATGATTCCAGCAGGGAGAAAAACAGACTATTCCATAGCTGGCTACCTGTCATCACCAGCAGTGGTGAAAAAAAGCTAAACAGCTTTATAACACAGCATTTTTACTTAAATAGGAACTTCCTTGGAACTGTAATTAAGATAATTCATGTTAACAAGCTTATTCCAAAGTCAAATAGAACAATTACTGAGGAAACTTGTACCCAGCATATGACAAATTAACTAATTGCAATGGATGAAGGACATATTTAGTTAAATAACTAGTGATAAAACATTTCAAAAATGTTATAGACATGTAGTGAACTTGTTTTCCCAAAGGAATTATCAAGGTTGTAAGTTACACTTATAATTTCAAGTTAAATATTTAGTCAAGAAAAATGCCATACTACAAAAATATACTATCTCTTTAAAGGCTAAATGCCAATAATTTCTAAACATTGCACACAGTCACACATCCAAGTGAACATATCAGTAACTCCAAAAGAAACAAGTACAAAGGGGAATTCATGTATCACCAAATACACTGTCCAGCTTGGTGCATTTTGGATTGCTCAAATCAGCCCTTGTAAGTTGTTGTTTGAGCATGGGTGATAAGCTTTGGAAAGCAAACAAAGAAGAGGGAAGCAACATTACCATCAGTGTATTGTGCAAAAACCTCCTACTATGGAGTCAATAACTAAGGACATCACATGAAACACTACTGGTGGTGGAAAATGTATCATTACCATAGATTGTGAATATTCCTGTTGGAAAGCATAAATGCAAGTAACAGACTTTTTTGTCTATGACAGTGAAAATAACCTGTTAACTGAAACAAGTTACTTTTTTTATTTTTATGTTATTACATATATAACAAGCTGTTATTACACCTAATGAATATTTTTACTCGTGAATTACATATTTATAAACAGAAGTGGATTTATAAAGCTCATTTTTTGTTTAGGTATACATATATTTTGTAAGACTTTTAAAACATTAATATATATATATTTCAGTTTAAGATATTCAAGGCAAAAAGTAAATTATATAGGCTTTGTTTTAAAATCAAAAATTAGGGTGCTCATAACTTTTTTAGGGTCTCAAGACCAAGTGTCCCCACACAAAATTGGGAATCCTGATGATTTACTCCAATATTATACAAGTTCATAATAATGATAGAGTTAATACAGATAAGCATGCATCTTGTACAGAAGAAATTAACCTTTCACTGTAGCATCATTTACAAAAGGATACTAATTACTGTAGTAAGTTTTGTTAGTACCGAAATTAAATGAATTTTATATTTCCATTTTTTTGTCAGACATGACACCTTAAGCTATGTTTTTAGTTCATATAAAACTAAACCCATTAAAAATCATACAAACAAGACACAAAAATTTATCGATGACAAATGACCTCACCTTTCACAATGGCATCATTGTTACCTTTGTCAAGATAAATTTAGATGCAACAGTTATAATTTGTTTCCTATAAATAACAAGTTATTGTCTTTGTGTGTATCTTGTTTCAATATATATAAATTTAACACTGTATTCAATATTATAAAAAAGGATTTGTGTCATCTGATTAGTTTGCCAATGAAGGCCTAGACTACTGTACTCACTAATGTTTTTGATGATGTTCTGTTATAGATGAATATACCTTTACTTTCCAGTACATATATTATCACACAAAAATATCAGGTATGATAAAAAGACCAACAGAAAATATAAACACAAAATCTGGCTTCTAAATGTTAGGGAAGTTCTTAAAATTGTGTCTTCAAGTTGCTTCATTACTGTTGATCACAGTTCAACATACTAACTTCAAATGTTTTACTAATTTTCACACAACACTATTGTATTCTCTACTAAGAAAGTTGAAGATCAGAATTTTCTGAACATACATAAGGTGCAGAAGTATAAAATAAACATCAAGGTAACAGAAAATAATACAATTTTATTAAGAGAAATAAATACGATCTTAGAAAAGAGCAAAAAATAAAATAAAAAATCTAGAGTGCAATACTTCTGGTTACCCACCATATTATACAATATTTCTGGTTACTCACCATGTTATACAACAGCAATGTAAAATTTAAATATATTTTTTTTATTTCTGAACTAAGTATTTTACATTGTTAAAATATAAAATTTATAAAAATGTGAAGAAATAATTGATTGAAATAGTTACATTTCTTGTCGAATTTTAATGTTGAGTTGAGAGCAAATACAGAGTGATCTTTTGGGTCAGAAGGAGTTAAGATAAATAAGAGGATTGGAAGAAAAAGAGAGATGCTTTTTCTGTATATATTATTACAGATAATTTAGGAGCAACAATTGGTATATAACAGATAACAGGAGCCAAATTCAGTTCAACAATAGTCACTTTATCTTAATGTGTTTTTATTTTCTAACACTTCTCTTAGTTGTTAACTTGTTAGTATTAACTGTCAATTTATTTTGTTTATCAATTGAACTGTCAGTAGGGACAATAAGAGGGGAATAGCCTCAAATTTAAACACTTGTTATATTTTTTGCATTTATTAGGTTTTGCAACTTGTTTTTATGTGCCTTCCAATCAGACCAAAATGTGATACACTTTCAGCTTAGAGTTGCAAATTAAATATTCAAATTGTTTCACTTTTATTTTGGGCTAATGTATAAATGATTGTATTATTTTGTTTTCATGTTTCATCATTTATATTTTTATTATAGTCAGGGGCCTCAAAAAATAGAATTGGCCCAGGCCTCTCTGAACCTCTAAAAGGGCCTCAGTGTCAGACATGTTTTCATACTTCATGCCCACACGTTAATGTTATACAGAACAATGTTTTCTTTATGAGTTGAACCATGCATTCAATAATGACCATTGTTATCTACTGACCTGCAGATTTTGGGCTCTACGGTCACTGAAACTTTGCTAAATAAAATACAGTCATTTACAAAATTGGTACCAATATGAATAACTATGACAGACTTTCCAATATCAACCTATTAATCTTTGTAAGCATATTCTGATATCACATAAGACAGTGAGTTGGAAAATAGCAAGATAAAATAAAAAGAAGGAAAAATACGTACCTTCCAGTATAAGGTTATGGTTCTACTATTAATGAACTTTTGTACCTCAAATGTTCCTTTGGTAATATTCGGTACATAATATGGTACTGGAAATAGAATAAAATGTTGACTATATACAAATACTCTTGAAATGCTGGGATGAAGCAACAATTACCTGTCATACTCCTATATCATCAAAATATACAACTAGCAATTTTTTATTAAATATATCAGATATATCTGATTGTTTTCATTCTTTCACTTGCTAAAGTAACATAATTCAATTAAAAAAAAAGTTGTAGAGATACTGTTGAACATTCTGTACCATCCACAGAAATCAGTAAGGCTAATATAACACTATGGTCACCAGCTGGGTGGACAAGTTCACCTTGACTGCTGCATGTATTAAGCATGGTGTTTACCAAACCCCAAAACCCTAATTAATACTTTGATAAACAAATTTAACTATGCAAGATTTTAATATAAGCTCAGATTAATTTTAATGTGGTAAATTACTGTTATATCAAAGTAAGCATAGTTTCAAAATTCTGATCAAAATTCTATATCTTAACATTCACACAGATCATATGGTGTACAACTGCATAAGTTAAAACAAGTGTACTAGAAGCCAAAAAACTTTTGTTTCTTTTTTGCGAAGTTATCTTCAAAGTGATGAAGGAAGAGTTCTTGTTACATAACAGAAGGGTTAATACTCTTCCTCCTACAAATCTTTTACTTACATTGACTTTAAATGATACTCAAATATGGTTGGTTAAATGTAACTATTTTAAATGTAATAAAAAGAAACAATATTTTTAATATACCTTCTAAAAACAAATGAAATAACATGAATTTTTCTTAAATATATTAATTAATAAAACCTTACAATGAAAAAACAAACAATCCAACCATCACATCTGTATTTTCATTTTACAATTTTTCAGTTAAGTAGTTTCCTAAGATTGATTGAGCCTTTCATACCATTCTGATTAAAACAATATTACTTTTGTTTTTTAATATGGTTATATAACTGAGCTTGTTAAGCCTAATTTGGCATCATTGATTTAAAAAAAATAATACTCTAGAGAAAAATTTAAATAGATCCAATTTCACTGAAAACAGTACCCTCCCAACTAAATAGAGGTTTCTTTTTCATAATATAGTTCCCGGTAAAGAGGATTTATGTGTCAGCTTCGATACACAATATATGCATCTGGAAAAAAGCATAACTTGCTTTGTGGAATATTTACAATGGCATTTGTTACCTTTTAAAAATAATTTTTATACTACATTTAAAATATTGACCACTGCCTAGATAATTATTGATAATTAATGTTTATCAATAATATGGAGAAGAAAAAAATCAATTTCTTATAATTTTTCAAAGTAGTTTTTCCTACTAGACTTCTGTAATAAAACCTCAGTATACTTTTAAAATGTCTAGAGAAAGGTCTAGGAATAAATTTTCCTTGTTTCTTACTCAATTATTAGCTAGCTTTGTCAATATCTATGGAGCTTGTTTGGCTTTAGAAACGTTTACATCAAATTTTTTTTAATATTCTGTTGCAGCTGATACATGACTACTCTTCAAAACATACTTTCAAGGAGATAATTATTACTCTATTGCCCTGTCTATCATTCTGGGATTCACTTAGCTCTAACGGCATATCTAGTCTTAAAACAATATGAATATAACTTAATGAAACAATTGCAAATCAAGATATTATGTATGTTAAAAAATCAAATTACTACAATTTTGTTCTGTAAATTTCCTAAACTATTAAAAAAAATTTTAGGTGACTTTATTCTAACTAGGGTGTTATCATTCATCCCCAATACACAAGGATTAAGAATACTTGTAACCTTTTTAGGGCACTTTAAAACATTAAAAACTCACACACACAAAAAAAAAGTTGTTTAGTTTAACCCTTTTGAGATGGGTCACGGGTGAAAGGCCATTTCATCTCGTTTGTTGACTTGCATTCAAAATTTTTTGAACTACTATTTCATGACTTTAAGTCAACAAGTTCGTATCAAACTGTAGATTATAATTAAAATTTTAGTACTATACATTACTCAATTTCTTAACTTAAAAGAATATATTAAAAACACAGACAAAAATTAATTTTTGTGTGTCACATGTTATGTTGAATGCAGCACTGGTTCAAATTAGATGTTTGTGAAGTCAAAATATTAAGTCTATAGTTTCGTATGAATTATAAACTCAAATTACCAATATTGACAAGGAAGAATATAAAATAAGAATGTCTTATCTTTTCTATTTGTTATGATATTGCTCATGTAATAAATCAAACACAGTGGTACCTCACCCACCTCTTTCAATTTTTGGAAATGCTCCCTTATATACACTTACTTCTATGTATATATATTTGATGTGAATAGCCAATCGGAAGCTCAGAATGTCTCTCTAGTGGCTTTCTCAGCCTTTCTAACACACCTAGCACCATTTCTTTTGAACCAAGATTTCAATGAAGTAGGTTGTGTCTTTAGTCTGCTTGAAATTTCATATTTTTTAAGACCAAAATACAGCTTAGTTACTAAGTTTGATAAATTATAATAGAATTCTATAGTATTGATGTAGTAATTTATGATTTTTTAGTTATTCAAATGTATATATAAAACCTAAAAAAATATTTTATTTCATATCCTCCACATTCAAAATTTTTAAAGGCTTAGCAACCTACATCTAGCAGCAACCAAGTACAAAGGTCGAGACTATAAGAGATAATTGTTTGCTTTACATCTATATTTACGATTCTATGTTCTAAGAAAAATAAGTTTAAGAACTTATTTCAAAATAGCAATAATCTATGTACATATATATTATGTATAATAATTGAAATGTGACTGTGTTTTACAAAATCCTAGTCTACTAAAACACAGCCAAGACAAGTTACTTTGTACAGACCAAAGGTAAGTTTTATGTTATTAGATACGGTAACGAATGCACGTGTATCATGTCATTGTAACTTCTGTATCGTTAGTCAGGCACGGCTGAAAGATCATTATAATAAAAATAATAAATATTTATAAATGTATAATGTTATGAGATTTAAGATTTTTGTTCTGAATAATAATTTGTGTTCATTCTAGAATGAAAGAGGCATAACTTATATGTATTTCCTAGTTACAAGATCGGTCAAATCTACTGAACCCATACATAGATTCAGTACTGAAAATAACAGGTAAAATATAAAGTTCTTTCTTAAGAAACATTTGATTACTACTTGGACATTATAAAGATTTCGCATGTGAAATTTGAAAATTTTCTGATGCATAAAAGTATTTTGAATATTATAATCAAAATTACTTTGCATGTTAGATAGGCAACATGCAAAAGAAAAAAGAAGGCACGATAAAAACATTTCTTTACAAACCTTAAGACTTAATAAACAAATTTGATATTTTGCGTATGAAAGCATTGTAATGTTTACCGATAATATATCAAATTTCATTAACATTTGCT